GCAAAGTGAGTGCTGACTATAGTTAATGGTGCTATATAACCATAGCACCATTAACTTTCTGACTGGTCCCATATAAGCTTAAATTTCACTTTGCAATTGTGTCAAATTACCCAAGGAAACTAAATCTGGTCCCAAACAAAGAAAGCGGATATTTTGTTTTACTGGGAACTATTAGTAGCTTTTCTGTGGGTGGAGTGTGGAAACTGAAAAATGAAGCTGAATAAAAACTGTATTCTTTCTAATGGCCAACAGGAGGTGACTTGTAAGAAAAAACACAAAAAAACTATCCTTGATTTATGATCTCATTAACCACTTTTCTGATGAATTTATGGTCCCAATTGCGCAGCAGATTGACAACCTGTCCTCTTGCCCTGCGACAGCTGGGTTTGGAAGAGGCGGGATGGGCAGTAAACCATGTTGTTTGTCAAGGTGGGCCTAACTTGCGTGAGTGTGCAGTTTCCCTCTGTTTCTAATAGTCCATCGCTCTTTCCACCAAAATGATGACGGACAAAATGCTGAGCTCACAGATCACTAACCAGCGTCTGATGTCACAGTGGCTACAACCCTCTTTTATATAAACCACCACTAAGTCTGATGTTATTAGCCATTTCTGGGTCCAAACTCTTCTTCTGTTCCCAGACTCAGACAGACACAGACACTAAACACAAGAGTGCATTTCGTTGCCCTGTACCTGTGCATGTGCAATGACAATAAAGTTGAATTCTAATTCTAATTCTAATTCTAATTCTAAGAGGGAATCAGGACAAAGAGGAAACACCTCTTGGCAAGACATGGCTGGCAAGAATCTAGCAGAAAAGACAGGGGGACTGAACACAACACACACCAGACAGGAGACTATCAAAGTAAAGCAGAAAGTAGGGGGAAGACACCGAACACACGCAAGACTAAGACAAACAGGACACGAAAAGGAACAAACTAAATAACCAGGAACCTAAGAACTAGAAATACAAACAAAGAAAGAGGCTTGAGAGCATTAAACTATACCGAACAAAGACAAAGAAACAGATCATTAAAACAATAAACAAAATCCAAAAAACCATAATCCAAAACACTCAGTCAATGACCCAGAAACCCTAACACACTGAGAGTTTAAAACGGTCAGATTCTTTCTTCTTCAATAAAATCTTCAGTGTGACTGCTCTCCCAGGTGTTACAGCAAAATTTAACATCCAGGCATCCATGAAATACGGGATTCACAAAGTTTAATGGAGTTAGAAGTTAGTAGGAAGTTAGTTCACTCGTTTCCATTTAAAGATGATACACTGTGTTCTAACTGAGGGATTTCTAAAAAAAAAAGAAAGAAAAAAAAGGCAAAGGCAAAGCTCTACTGTCACTTTGGACATAAATGAAGAAGGAAATCTAAACAGAAGCAATGTTTGTAGAGTTACTGAAGTTGGTTTACCTGGCATATAACCATGTGTTACTTGGTGGGTAGCTACACAGCTATGGTTAGAATAATATAAAAACATTAGCATAGTGAAACAGGAGGATGAACTCCTCAGTAAAAGTTAATGTGAGATGGGCAGAGACAAATGCAATCACTTTGCAGGAAAAAGAGGCTATAAACAAACCACACTTCAGTCAGGGGAACACCTGCTATGGAAAACGTAACTATTCATATGTATGATTCTTTTCTGACACGTTCAAATATTTGGTGTCTGTCAAACCTGTTAGCCCAAGGGCTGTAGTTACACTGTAAGGTTTAAAAAACTAAGAAAAAGGCAGAGAGACTGACAATGGCTGTTTTTTTTAACATTAAATAGAATTATTACAACAATTATTATTATTACAACAAGCGGATACAAAGATGGTGAGGATGGAGTAATAGAAACTGAAAGTAAGGTAAGAGGGAGCTGTGTTTCAGACCAGTATTAACTGGATAAAAAGAGCATAACAATTCTCAGAAGTCACATTTAATAGAGAGTATTTTTGTTACATGAAAAAGTAATAAAAGCTGCCTACTTATTAGTGCTCAGTACTACAGTCTGAAGGAAAATCGCCCACATTTTGCTTCACAAGTAGCTTTTTCCTAAGGGGAAAAAAATATTTTCTTAGGAAATAGAGCCTAGACAGCCCCTTCTGAAACTGACTTCCCGTTCAGCTTGCTGTCAAAGTGGACGCCCAGGTACTTGTACTAACCCCCACTTCAATATCCTGTCCCAGAATAGACACAGGCCATGTAGCTGTCGTCTTGCTTCTAAATTTGACCGCCATCTCTCCAGATGGCGTTCAAATATGGAGCAACCCTGGAGGTCCCATTCTGGGGTCTGCTTCTGTCCGTTGAGCCTCTCTAATAGCCAACTCGATCTCCCAGGTCAGGGTCCCAATTACACAGGTGGGTGGTAGAATGGGAGAGTAAGCTGCATCTTCAGAGGCGGCAAATTGGCGTGAGAGGGCGTCTGGCTTGACATTACGGGAACCGGGTCTGTAAGTGATTGTGAACTGGAATCTTGTAAAAAACAGGGCCCACCTGGCTTGCCTGGCGTTGAGGCGCTTTGCCTATCGAATGTACTCCAGGTTCTTGTGATCGGTCCAGACCACAAACGGCTGGGCACCGCCCTCCAGCCAATGGCGCCACTCCTCCAGAGCTAGCTTGATGGCTAGTAGCTCTCGGTCTCCCACATCATAGTTGCTCTCTGCGAAGGTGAGACGGCGTGAAAAGTAGGCACAGGGGTGAAGCTTACCACCTTGCTCCTGGGAAAGCACCGCCCCCACTCCAGCATCCGAGGCGTCCACCTCTACAATGAACTGCAGGTTTAGGTCAGGTTGGACGAGAATGAGCAAATGCTTGTTGAGCCAGTTCATCCCAGCAGAAGGGAACCTTGGGAGAAGTAAGACAGGTCAGATAGAAGTTCGCAAACCCCAGAAAGCTTTGAAGCTGTTTATGGTTAGAGGGGGTCAGCCAGTCAACAACGGCTTGAACCTTCGCGGGATCAATTTTGAGGTTACCTTGGTCGATGATGTGGCCCAGGAAGGAAACAGTTGAGATATGAAACTCACACTTCTCCCCTTTAACAAAGAGACGCTGAAGGACTTGCCTGACATGGTGTTGGTGTTCGGTGACAGAGCGGGAGAAGATGAGGATGTCATCCAAGTAGACAAAAACGAAGTGGTCAATGAAATCCCGGAGAATGTCGTTCACGAGAGCCTGAAACACAGCTGGTTCATTGGTGAGACCAAAAGGCATTACAAGATATTCGAAATGGCCCAGATGAGTATTGAAAGCCGTTTTCCACTCATCCCCCTCCCTTATTCTCACCAGATGGTAGGCGTTGCGCAGGTCCAGCTTTGAGAAGATAGTGGCCCCCTGGAGAAGCTCGAACGCGGAACTCAGCAGCGGGAGGGGATACTTGTTTTTAACTGTGATGGCGTTGAGGCCATGATAGTCGATACAGGGCAACTCTTGTCCTTCTTACTGACAAAAAAGAAACCGGCTGCAACAGATGTGGACAAGGGACGAATGAGACCCGCGGCAAGGGATTCGTTGATGTATCTCTCCATGCTCTCACGCTCAGGTTGGGACAGGCTGTACAACCTACTGGTCAGGAGTGGTGCGCCTGGGAGGAGGTCAATCCCACAGTCGTACGGCCGGTGGGGGGGAAGGGAGCGTGCCTTATCCTTACAAAACACCAGTGCCAGGTCGGGATAAACAGACGGCACGGAGGACAGATCTGACGGTTCAGAGATCGCTGAATTGGTTGGTGGGTTCATGGCGGGGGTGGCAGCTTTTAAACAGGACATGTGACACTCTTCCCCCCACCCCGAAATACTTTCTTTCCTCCAATCGATCATAGGGTTATGTTGACGTAGCCAGGGGTAGCCTAAGACTAGCAGTGTGAGTGGGGCTTTAAAGACATAAAAAAGACATAAAACTGTAGGACTTCAGAGAAACAGAGCGTGCTGATCAGCGTGCAGCTGATCCACCTGGCCGTGACAAATAGTTTTTCCTTATACTTAGTTTAGTTTTACTCTTTGAGCTTTGTGTTTCCTTGGATTTTGCATTCCTGACAATAGAGGCTACTTTCATTAAAGAGACATTAAGAATAACCAAACTAAATGTAGACGTCAGAATGAAGACACGTTTTTCTGTTATCGTCTTAGTTTTTTTAAGAAACAGGACAGCTGCTGAAGCCTTTTCTGGCAGGTTTCCTGGACGGATCACCTCCTCTCTGAACTACAACTGGGCTTCTGATAAGAGATCTTTTAATATTACTCCCGACTTCAATATCAGAGGATTGCAAGGTTGCCAGGCAGGGATATTGAGCGAAAGCTAAGAGTTTCTCCCTTTCGGCTCGGCCCGGCATCAAAACTTATTAGATAGATAAATGAGAGCTGGACTTGTGCCGGAGCGGGCCTCTTTCTGTGCCTGTGTGTCATTTATTTGTCCCCGAATAAAGGCTCCATCAGATAGTGGGTAGCCTTTCATGGCGGCCTCCATCTCTCTGCATCTGTTGACCCTCCGCAGCACAGTCGGGATAATTTGGGCTGCTTTGGCGGCTCTGAAACAGCACTTTCCCTTTGAAACAGCTTTTGTTAATTTTGTTCTTTCTTACTCAGATAAACCTCAGATTCAGAGGTCAGGAAGCATATATGTGGTTCTTCTACTCTATTGGGCATTTTGTTATCTTATTTATCAAAGCAAAGAAGCCTTAAAAACCCCTTTTTATAAAGCATTTCTTTGTTATATGAGGCTGTACAGCAAAATAGGAGGCTTGCTTTTTTATAGTACATGGTTGGATGATGTGAGTGGTATTTATAGCATTGTAAGAATTAAATATTGCTTCTACTCAGTAGAGCGTCTGTCATCTGCTTTGTCTATCAGAATTAAGCTCAGGTCCTTGAAAAAAGCATTTCCTTGACTAGTTTCCTGTAACCATGGTAATAGGAAGTCCTCTCCAATCACATTTTCGTACTGTATGTCAGGGAAGTGAACAGCTTCCTGCTGTTTTCACTGGCTTCCTCTCCACTGGTGTGAACTCAGGATTCCGCATTAGGTCCTGGAAAGCTGCGCAGCTCTTAACCACAGCTCTTGTTGTGAGCAGTTATTTTTCTCTTTTCTGCATTTTCTAATGAATTTGCCCTCAACGCAGTCACATTTGAATGACGTAAGTTTAAACTTTCTTGTAAAAATTGAGACCAAACAGGAGTTTAGGCAGTGGCAGTTTCAAGATTTCATTTTTATTTCTTATGTTTTCAATACTTTTCAAGTGATTACTCGAGTGAACAAAACCAGTGAGATCAATTAATTTCTCTAATAATGTGATTCTGAAGCTTTATCTAAATTTATTTTCATATCACTGCTCAGTGGGACACGAGAGCTGCATGTATAAAATCAGCTGTCAGATCTGACTTTAAAAATCTTTTAAAGGTTTGCTAACTTTGCCCTAAAGTAAGATTTTAAAAGTCATATTTAAAGCACCATCTTTGCTGTTGTGTGATTCTGCATTCGGGATTCTTCACTGACATGTCTCTCTCTTCTACACTCTCTGGCTATTTTGTTAGCTACATCTTGCTAGTTCTAAGCTGGGCTCCCTTTGGTCTTCACTACTACATTAGTTCACATAGATTCAACAAGATGCTGGAAACATTCCCCAGAGATTTTTGTCCATATTGACATTATAGCATTAAACAGTTACTGCGGATTTGTCGGCTACACATCCATAATGCAAATTTCCTGTTTTTCCACATTCCAAAGGTGCTCTCACCAGATTCAGATCTGTTGACTTTGGAGGTGACAGTGAATTGCTTGCCACATTCAATAAACGAGTTAAGATTATTTGAGACATGATGTATTATAATGGCAGAACTGTGGCCATAAAGGGGTGGACACGGTCAGCAACAATACTCAGGTAGGCTGTTGTGTATAAACAGCACTCACTTGGTTGTAACGAGTGGTTATTTCAGTTACTGTTGCCATCGTATCAGCTCCAAGCAGTCTGGCTATTCTCCTCTGACCTCTTCTAGCATCAACAACATATTTTCACACAGAGAAAATGCTGCTCACTGGATATTTTCTCTCTGTAAAGCCCAGAGATGATTGTGTGGGAAAATTTCAGTAGCTCAGCAGTTTCTGAAATACTCAGCCCAGCCTGTTTGGCACCAACAACCATGCCATGTTCAGTGTCACTTAAATCACCTTTCTTCCCCATTCTGATGCCCAGTTTGAACTGCAGTCGATCATCTTAACCATGTGTATTTGACTAACTGTATTAGATTGCTGCTGTGTGATTGGCTGATCGCTGCTATTAAAGTGGTCAATGGGCATAATGTTTCCGATATAACATATTAAATATACTATATTAAACATGGTCTGTGTTAGTTTTAGACTGTTTTTTTAAACTCTTGAATCTTTAGGAATCAATAGAGATGGGATAAGTAAGACAAGCACAGAGATATGTTGGCAACTGCCTGGTAACCACTGGTTGTTTAGATACCCACCACTACAAAGTCTGTGTTTGGGTTACTGTGGTAATAGTCTGGTGGGTTCACAGTAAGTGAGTGGATGTCTTTTGTCCAGCCTCTTATTTATACATCCTCCTCTCACAAAACTAATGGATTCTTTCCAGTGATAAGGCAGTGTTATACGTGTGGGAAAAAAAAAACTGTAGAGGGAATATTCTGCCATTGTCTGCAGTTAGAGTGAAAACATCTAAGAATAACAGTGAACTACATAAAAGATAACAAAAGCATATCAGACAGAACAGGCATACAGAGAAAGTTTATTTTATATTTCAGAGAGACTAAAAACCACTTCCTGGGGAGTCACGGACACACTTGCGAGAAAGAAATGGAGAACTGATTTACATCAAGCTGCACTCCATTACTCCTCCTCACTGGATCAAACTGGCAGCGATGCAGCTTGGTCATCCAGTCACCATCAGCACTTCTCTCCAAATCCCTCCCCAACCTCAGAGTCTGATATTCAGGAGCCGACACCCATTCCTGCTAGACTCCATCCAGCCCGTGTTGGTCAGGGCTATCATCAATCCAAAACGGGGGATGGAGGAACCTCTCCAGCCGCAGACTCCACAAAGCCCCAGTAACTGCAGCTCATCAGGACCTGGTGGGAAATCCTGCTGGAGTTTAGACCTGAGGGTGGCTATTCTTCTGCTTACTCTGGCAGGAGCAGTAATCCTCCTGCTGCTGTACAGACTGTTACAGCTAAGACACAGGTGTGTACATGTGTAATAACATGTAGCCAAAAGGTAAATTGATGTCAGGCTTGTTTGGTAAGTCATCTGTGTGCATCTTGACCCAACTCAGTTTGGCCTCAAAAATGGGATCCGAGTTTTACCACTATATTTACTTGGGTTATGTTTTCTTCAGGCTGAGGATGGCCAGAGCGAGGCATGCTTTGGAGTACACCAGCTTCTACCACAGTGGCACCTACACACTCAAACACCCCACACCTTGTCAGGAGCTGCCAGAGAAGAGCAGGGCAGTACCTGAAGACACTGCACCACTCCAAACCATAACCTCAGTGACACCTGCTGTCATCACCCCAGTGCCACCTCCATCGCCACCCTCACCGGCACCCCCTCCACTGCCACTCCCCCCACCTCCTGTCCTACCACGTCCACCTCTTCACCCTCAAGTTTCTCTCCCTCCGACACCCCCTGTCCTGTCACTCCCTCTTCCCGTGCCTGTCATCCACACCACCCCGCCCAGCCCTCACCTGTCATGGGGTGCCTGCTCAGATGCAGATGTTTATTCTCGGATTGGGACTTTCAGACCATCCAGGCTTTCCAACCTCTCCAACCAGTCGACGGTCATCCTGTTTGAACACTCATCTGTTTGAACTCTCACAGAATGTGTGTGATCTCCTCAAGGAGTCTGTGACTGTGAAGGGATTACAAGATGTTTCCTGTACTCTATGTTTGTGTGTGTAATATACAGCAAAATATAAGAGGTTAACATTTCAAAACTTTAAAACATGAAGTTTGCACTTTGTCAGCCACTGAAGGGCTTTATTTACAAAAAAAAAGAAAGAAAAAAGCAGAAGCAATAAAATTGCAATTTAATTAAAAACACCTCTATTATAACCATGTTTTTTTTTTTAACTGGATTGTGATGTCAGGAGGACAGATGAAACCCTCCACTTGTCCAAGAAGCAGGACTAAAAAACTACCAATAGCAGATGAACAGTATGTAAAACAGGGCTTATGAATACATCGACTTTTTGGTGGAGGATTTCAAGAGCGAGGTACAACAGTGAACATCTACAGTCATCTGTAAAACATGGCAGAAGGTTGCATTTCAGTCAGTGGTGTCAGGGAACGTGTTAAAGTTGATGTGAATGCAAAAAAAGCACAGCCAGATCCACCAATCAGAACCATTTGGAAGCATCTGATTGACAACAGCTTCAGTTCTCAGCATGACAGGAAGCCCATGAAAAGAAAAAATTAAGAATTTGAAAATTCATGGATTATAATGATTGTATTTTAGAGTTTAAAATAGTTTGATCAAAGACCTTTCAATCCTGGTGGATTAACCATTACAGAAACATAAAAAAATAAATAAATAAATTACCTATGCTGTTAATTTAGGGCAGATATGGCATAACCCTTGCATTTTGTGGTGGCCTCATAAGTTTGTTAAGCACTGTATAACGAGTCCATCACCAGGTAGTTAGTAACACATTTTTGTGTTTTCGTTGTGTGACCACATTCAGGTGTGAATAAGAAATTCTGCATTACATACTTCGTTGTGCAGATTAAGAAAATACACACCTCGTTATTTGTCTTAAAATATTGTAATTTAAAAAAAAACAAACAATAATAATGACATTTTTAAATATTAAAAACATAACCATAATCCCTAGTCACTTTAGCTATCTAGTGATCACCTAATGATTAACTCACTATTACTTTCTGGCTCTTTCTGTGGCTCCTTAATGAGAATCATAACTTACAAAATGATCATTTTGTTTTCTTTAAAACTCGACGACAGTGTTTAGGAAAATGTTCACTACCATCATAAATCAAGAGACCTGTAGGTTCATTTTCTCATATTCTCCTGTACATTCTGATGTTTAATGGCCTCCTGAGTTAGAAATATGGGATTAATGTCAATGCCATCCTTCCAGCCCTCTCACCTGGATGCTGTTAGTCTCCTAAAATGAGACTGTTATCTCTTAGTGGCCAATACTGCTGAATCCTTCCATGAAAAATGGGGATACAAGTAAACAGTGCATGTATCATCAAATTTTAAGAGGAACTTTAACTAATGATAGAAGTCATGTATATGTATAACCATGTATAATTTCTGCTGCATGAAGTAGTTCTGAAGTTTGAAGGATTCTTAAAGTGGATATGCAACATTTCAAAATGAAAAACTTTGATTAATATTCAACACATCCAGAAAACAAACACATTCATATTCATCCTTGCCTGACATTTCCTCATTTTATTTAATTGCCTCTGCTGTAAATTGTTACAAATGTCTTTCCTCCTCAGCTTACAACCACTTACGAGACATTGCAGAAGCGCATGCACAGATTGAATTAACTGGCTTTTAGAATGGAGACCGTGACCCCACGAGCAGACTTGGATGCACAAATGACTAAAGATACAAGGTACACAAGGTCTCGGTTTTCACCCCAGCAGGCAGAGAGCAACAAACAACCATCAACTAAAACAGCTTCCCTTTACAAACTAATGTTGAATTATAAATGAGAGGTTGGGAAAAACATATTGAAAGATTGAAGAAAAATTCCCCTTGTTAATGTGGCCACTAAGATCACCATAGAAACAAGATGTTAGATGTCAGATGTTACCCTTGTGCCAATGGGGCTTTTTAATCTGTGCTAAGTTCATCCACTGGGGAAGAGCACTAATAAAATAGTTAAGAGTTGAGCGATTGCATTGTTAAACATACGGTTTAATAATCATGTTTGAATTTTTTACAGTTAAAGGCTTATATTACTAAATGAAGCAAAAGTTTATGATACAGAAAGAGACAGAGAGGGGGGGGGGGGCACATGAATGCAAAGAATGGTGTGAAACAGGGAGGGACGCTGCCATGAAAACCCAGCTCAGGAAATACCTCCCAACTGAGGAAACAATGAGCTCTGCTACTGCAACAACTCAGTAAAAATGGTTACAATAAACAGGTTAGGAGTGCTATGTTTCCAATCTGGCAGTAGTTTATTTATTACAAACCACTTGAGTTTTGCATTGTGGAGGGAACCCTGAAGTAATTAAGTGCATGTTGTTATTCATGCAAAGTAAGAAAATATGTCAAAAGTTGTCAGTATTCCAGTTATTGGCATAAAAACTAGACCGAAAATGAGTGAAAAAGCAACCAGTGCCCCCCAAAAAGCTTTGAAAGATCATGAAAAAGCCAAGAGACAGACATAATTGTTCTTTTCAAACTGGTCAGTCTACCTGTAACTTAGCTGCACAAATCTAGTGATACCTCAAATCTCAGCGCAGGGAAATTTGTTTAATGAGGCAAACTGACCTCTACAGGCAATATTTGATGCTGGTGTGTTTTGTTGCTTACAGTGAATTTCCTGTTTGGCCAGATAAAGCTTTCTGCTTAGCCAGCATTAGCTTAAGTAATAAAGTGGACAACCTGGTATTCATTGTAGCAGCTAGCTGGCTAACATTATCTCTAGAAAAATGCAGTCTCTAGCCACAACAATCTTCATTGTCTTTAGCTAGTGATCAATGGACTCCATAATCTATCATAAACTAGTGCTGCTCAATGATGAAAATGCAAACAGAGGTGATTTTCTTAAAAAAAAGAAAAGAAAAAAAAACTAGGGAACAAATAAAAAACAAACAAGCAAACAGAAATAGCTAAGAGGCTGTTAGAGGAAACTGTGTGTCAGTGTGATACAAGCCAATTTAAATGCTCCCATTTTCATATTAACATTCACATCAGAGTTATTAGTAGTGAAATACTGAAGTACTCCTATTCGTTAAGTTAATCACTGAATAGCATATTGCTTGTGCTAAGAATCACTGGATTAAAAGCATATAAACTATTAGGAGGAATAGATCAATTTTAATTACATGTACACCGATCAGCTCAGCAGCCACAACTGATCCCTAGAAGGTCAGCTGAATTGATTATCGCTACACTGAATTTAAGGGAACCTTATGAGATTAGGTAAGATCACAATCTTATTTCCTGCAAGAATTTCTTTCCCAAAAGGTAACATGAGTAGCACAAGTGCATGTTATTCTGCAAGGTGGCATATTTTGTAGAAATATGTGACTATATAGCTAATGAATGTTGTCTCTTGGTTGTTTTTTTTTTTTTTTTGACAAGAAATGTTTAGATAGAAAGAAAGATAGAAAATGAATATAATTCATGCAGACTGTCATGGGCCTTTGACCCAACATTTTGAGTTTTGGAATGTTTTGAGTTTTCTGTGAGCTCATGAGCTCTATATCTAGTTCTTTCAACATAACAGTGTTTCGCTGTGGTTCCAGTCTGCGTTCCTCATTAGGTTATGCAGTCTTTAGTTATAATCTTTTGAGATCCCTTTCTGTTCTCCCAGTCAGTCATGTCTCCATGTTTGTTCATCCTCTGTCACTGTGTCACATTCACGTGTTTCAGTCGTGGGTTCAGTCTTTGTTACTTCCTGTTTTATTTTAATAGTCTCTTGTCCCGTGTGCATTATGTTCAGTCTTGCGTCCTCTTGTCTCGTTAGTCAGATTCCATCCAGCTGTGTTTCCTATCATCCTGATTACCTGGCGTGTATACATTGTCTGAGTGTCCACTTTGGTCTTTGTTGTGTTGTTGTGTAATCCCTCGCAGAATGGTTTTTCATTGTTTTTTGTCTTGTTTCTGTACTTTTAGTTTAAATAACCACCTTTTAGTTTAGCCCTTGTGTTTCTTACCAACTTTTTGTGCCAAAATCTAACATAAAACAACAAAAAAACATTTTGAGTTACCAACATGAAAAATGTGAAATCTGTGTTGTGTATGATTTAAACTTAGATCTCTGATATATGTGGTAAAGAGTCATCAACCTATCCAATCTCCCATTGTGCACTTTTCTTTGTATTTTAAAAGTGGAAAATAGTTATTCTGTGAAAATGAACGCAAATCATTAGATTATTAAATATATTTAGGAAAAAAAGGTTTTGACTATTTGAGTTATGAAGTAATGTTATTATGGCATGTTCTCATCAGAAGGGATGTGAGCTGTAAGGGAACTAAAAACACATAGTGTGAAAAACAATTATCTAATTACTGTCACTGGCATCATTAGCCACATCTATTGTATTCTATTGTCTATGTATCCTGTTCATGGGGTCTGTAGGTTTTCACTCCTTTTAAATAAAAAAAGAGAAACATATTCAATATATTTCAGGTATTTATGATAATTATTATCTATAAAAGTGAGTAAAAGTGTTCTAAATCTTGCTTGGCTGTGTCTGACTGGTAGGAACAGTGTTTGCAGTGCTAAATAAAATGAAATACAGTTTCTGTCCCTACTTAACTCATGTAACTGTGTATCAGATCGAGGATCATTACTTACTGTGTCATAGTCGCCATTTGCTGGAACGAGTGTGTCGACCATCACACAGTACAGTGACCAGGTATCAATGACTTCACACTTCATGCCCTACAATTTTAATGCCTTGAGTTTAACAGATTGGACATCCCTATCTTGTTTTTGTAAACCAGATGGCACAAGAGAGGGTGTTTATAACTTACACTTTCATACCAAAAGACTACAGATGGGTTTTTAGGTCAGTACAGCTAGTTTTGATTTCTGTGCCACACAGTTTATTGAAAGTAAAAAAAAAAAAATCAAACATTAAAGACCTTATCCTTTCCTAAAAGCTGCATGCTGTATTTTTGTTATCGCCTAAAAACAAACGTGGTGTTAAACAATGAGGAAATGCTGAAAGGTAAATCTCAGTTATCGCTGGAATCACGCAGTCAAATTCCAGAGAAGATTGATGTCAGCTGTTGGCAATAAAAACAGACTTCCACCTTCACAATGTTTATATGTGTCCCAAAACATCCATACAGGCAGATTTAAGAGGCAGATGGAAAATGTCATG